CTCAGCCTATCCGGTTGGCTGTACGGCTCACCCACAAGCAATGGGCGTGGGGTGCCCCCTGGAAACCGCCCCGTGAAGCGGTGGGTGAGCCTGGAAGGGAGGGGTGAGTGAGTGCGAGTATGAGCACGGCTGCCCAGGGGTGGGCTGCTCAGTTGAGTTATCTAGTCCTTCCTCTGGCTGCAAGGCTCGGGTGCTATCTCGGCAGCCTCCCCTTTCCCTGTCCTGCCCTGTGGATACTCAGCCCCCAGCCTCCCTTGCCAGTTCTCCGAGTGGGCCCCCCGGGTTGTCTGGCCAGAATCTCAGAAGGTCATGGCTCCTCAGGAGCAGGGCAGGTAGGGTTGGGGGATGGGCAGGCGCTTACAGCGGAGCATTAAGACCCCAGCCAGGAACCAGAGCTTGGAGGTCCCAACAGGTCTAAATGGAAGTCACCTGTTCCGGAGGAGAACGTACAACCCACAGGAGAGCAGGGAAGGAGCAACATGGGCCCATCAGCCTGGCTTTACATTCCTAGTCCAGACGGACCTTCAGAGCTCTCGTCCCCTTGACTGCACCAATCCCACGCCTCACTCGAGGGCTCTCCTTAACCCTGGCACCAGACCCTTCGAGACAATCATCTTGCTCACCATCTTTGCCAACTGTGTGGCCCTGGCTGTGTACCTGCCCATGCCAGAAGATGACAACAACACTCTCAACCTTGGTCTGGTAAGACAGGTCTTCCCACCCCCCTCCTGTGGGCCTGCAGCCCCAGGCTCAGGGAGGCCCCCCTGGTGGACGGCATGCTGGTGGATGATGCCAGAGCCTCAGTCTAGCTCCCAGCCACCTGCAGGGCTGGCTGAGTGGCTCAAGAGCTTTGCAGGGTGCATCTGCTAATTCTGGATTCTGTAATATTACCATCCAGCCCTGAGCAAGGGCCCAGGCACTGTGCTGGGCATCTGATGAGAGTAAGCTTCTAAAATCCTCCCGGCAACCCCATAAAGTAGTCCCATTTGACAGATGTGGAAACTGAGGCTTAGTAAGGTCAGCTCCTGAGCAATGGAGGCAGAAGGCTAGTTTCCCTTTCCTGGATATAAGCCAGAAGAAACTTGCTTCCTGGGAGAGTGGGGTCTAGGAATCCCAAGAGACCACGTTTTAGACCTCTATACCACTTTTCTCCTCACCCCTTCACCAGTAACACGGGCACAGAACCATAAAATGCCAGATCTAGGAGGGATTTGTCCTATCTTCTCCCTGCCTCACTGGTTTATGGATGAGAAAATGGAGCCCTAGGGAGTTAAAGGGCTGATTTTACTCAACAGCTAGATAATAGTAAGCATGGTTACCATTTGTCGTGTGCTTACTAGATGCCAGGTTCTATGCTAAATATTTTACATTATTGTCTTACTAATCCGCAGAAGTATCCCTGTGAGGTAACAACATTAAAGCCACGTAAAAGACAAGGCAACTGAGGCAGAGAGTTTGGGTACCTTGCTCGGGACCACCCCACATGCAGGTCCTGCCCATAGGGTCTCAAACTCAGGCCTCTCTGACTTGAGGGCCTGGCTTTGTGGCAGCTGTGTTGCTAATGTGGTAACAGCATGAAGACTTCTAGGGGAATCCCTCACAGAAACAGTGCTCTCAGCCCCACGAGGGGACAGGACAATGGACCCGCCATTTCAACAGGTTTTTTTCCTGCATTTATACCACGGGGGAGGGCAATTAACATGCATCCAGGGCCTGAAACAAAGGTATTTCTCTTTGCCTCTCCTTTATGCCGGTTTCCATGGGAATCTATCTTGAGCTGGCGAGAAGCTGGGATTTTAAGTGTGTGCTTGGCTATAAACAGAAAAAACTCTGAGCTCCTGCGTGTGGAAGGAAAGTGAGACAAAATGTGGGCAGGACTGCAACTGAGGCTGGGAGGGGCCTTCCACAAGGCAGGCCCAGTATTCAGTGTTCCTGAATCTAGGAGGGCTCTGGGTCCACCCCACTCTTCAGGACTTCATATCTGGGGGCCTTACTTTTATTTCAACTCCTTAAGAAGTTGGTTACTTTCAAAAGAAATTGCCCTCTGGAGGTTATTAAATTACGCCTCACTGGGTCTGTCCTCTTCCATCTTGAAACAAAATGGCTGTCCTAAGAATTTCACGCAGTCCTGTGTGCTTTCCCTTTAGCTTGTGGGCTGGAGTTACAACGCCTTCGGGTAAGGTCTAGAGTGCATAAACACAGGATGATAAATTACCTGGAGGAGGAAGAACTAACCAGAAACCTTTCCAAAGCAGTGAATACCCCTCAACTGTCAAAGTTGGACAGGCTATTAATAGTCAGTGAGGGATCCTGATCTGATCCCTTTGGGGTAAAGCCCAGAGAGGGTAGGTGATACTCAAAGTCACACAGCCAGCTTCTAGCGGTGGATTCCTCACTCCTACTTGTCAATTATATGTTCATCTCCACACAATCCAGCAGGAGGGAAATGAGAGGAGTTAGACCAGAAGGAAGGGAAATCAGACATTTATCTCTCTCTTACCCTATTGGCTGCTTTTGTAGGTGTCTGAGGAAGGTTAGGGACTTCCCAGTCATCCAAAATAACCCATATTTTTTAAGAAGGGAGTCCCAAGGACCAATTCTTCATTAGCATTCTCACTCATTTTACAAATATTTATTTTGTGCCCATTATATCCCTGGTACATACTGGGGATAAGATTGGGAACCAGGTAGACCTAGTTTCTGTCTTCGCAGGCCTTAATTAATTCAACCAATTAAAATGATGATAATTAAACCAGTTACACAAGTATCTGAATTGAAAAGGGAAATCTATAAGGTTTGGGACACTATGATATTGCACTGGAGGAAAACCTATTCCCTCCCAGAGGATGGGATGTTTTCCCTGAGATGTGAAGGACGAGGACAGGGCCAACTTTCATGTGCATGTGACCTGTGCAGTCCCTCCGGGGCCTGCATTCAGAAGGGCCCCATGGTTGGGGTTTAATGATCCGTGGGTATAGCACTGAAATTTAAATAATTTCATCTCTAAATCCATATTTTGTGAGCGAAGACCAGTGAGATCGTGGTATGTGCACAAGTAGCTCGGAGCCACGACTCACTCACATTTCGCCCTCTGCCACCTCCTATCACCTTCCCACCTCAAAAGACAGACACCGCTCATTCTCTCCCTGCTGGAGCCCTGGGCCAGGGTCAGGGTTGGATACATGCGGTCTGTCTTTGGTGTCTCAAGACAGGGCATGGCAATGGCTGTCCCCACCCTGGGCTGACGGTTCCACGGCCCATTCAGTGAATGATCGCCGGGTGGAGCCTGTGGCTGATCCCTCAACCACATCAACCACACAGACATCCCCTGTGTCTCTTGGAGCAGAGGTGGCCACATCCACCCTTGTGTGCTTCCTTCCCGTCCACCTTGGGTGGAGGCAGCAAGCCCGTGGGAAGGGAGATGCCTGTCTCCACTTCCCCACCTCTGGCCGAGACACGGGATGTCTGGCTGCTGGATGGTGTGTGTGGGGGGGGAACCTGGCAGCTGGTGGGAGGAGCCTGGAGGAGGTCATGGAGGAGGACGGGAGTGCCTGTGAGGGTCTGCCCTTGAGCCTTACAACATTAAATAGGCAATAAAAAACCAAAAACCAAAAACCACCATGACAGATTGAAAAAGAAACCATGGACGGAAGGAAAAAGCTTTGCATTTTGATACCTTCAATGGCATTTATTTCCGACTTTTTGGACAAAGGGCCCTACAGTTTTTCATTTCGTACTGGGCCTGTCGATCATGTAGCTGGTCCTGGAGGAGGGGTCGGGGCGGCGGGGAGAGGTTATAGAAGCCTCAGCAGGGAAGCCCCATGAGCAAAGGGCTGGAGGCAAGAGATTGAGAGAGGAGTTTGGGACTTAGAAGAATCTCTCAAGCTACCGTGTAGAGGGTAGACTGGAGCGCGGTGCGATGCGGGAAGCAGGGAGAGGGAGGAAGAGGTCATGAAGTTGTCCAGGCAGGAAACAGGGGAGACTAGAATTGAGGCATGATGCATAAGAGGGTGACGTTGAGAGACAGGAGACGGCTCAGTGGGACCTGGTGACTGCTGGATGTAGGGACGGACGCATGGGGGAGGGGAAGAAGACAAGGATGACACTTGGGTTTCAGAGTGGGTGCCAGAGCAGATGGCGGTATCACTTACCAAGACAGGCAACACCCGGGGGAGGAGCAGGCTGAGGTGGGAGGGAGGGCCACAGTGATTTTAATTTCCGACACGTGGAGATACAGGTGCCCACGTTCACCGGGCAATGGGCTTTGCAGGTCTGAGCATTTGATGGGTGAGAGGTGGGGGGCAGGGCTGGTCAGGGGGCAAGAAGGGCTTCCCACGGTTGACTTGTGTGCAAACAGAGTCAGGGGGCAGCTGGCACCCCTGATTGTGGGAAAGAAATCCTGACACTTGTCTGTGAAGCAGGCTCCCGTGGAAGGTCTGGGTGCTTCTCCAGGAGCTTTCTCCTACTCTCCATCTCCTTCCCCCCTGCTTTCGCTGCAGGTGATGGACTGGTGCTGAGGTACCCCCCCCGACTCTGCCTGTTCTGTGTCAGTGGGGAAACCTGGGTCCTCCCTGAACAGAAGGGGAAACTGAGGCCCTTGCCCAGAGAGGGCAGGGGAGTTCTGGAGAGACACAGTGGGTCAGATAGAGGATGGCAAGAAGAAGATCCAGGATGCTCATGTCTTGGCCAGCTATGTAGCATCATGGCGGAGGGGGAAATGGTCTCTGAAATCAGCCAGGTTGGGGAAGCAGCGTGGTGGTTAAGAATGGGTCCTAGGGCTACAATGTATGTTTTCTTTTTTTTATAAAAAATTTTTTTAATGTTTTTATTTATTTTTGAGACAGAGAG